TTTAGAATGGGAAGAGACTGAACCTTGGAATGCCTGTAATTGCAGCTGTTCCAGGGACTGAGACAAGAGGATCCTAAGGCCAACTTGGACAAATTGGCAAGACCATGCTTTAAAAATAAAATTTTAAAAGGGCCAGAAATGTGGCACTGGGGTTTGTCTCCAGTATGATAGCGCGGGTATGTATGATAAAGTTACAGATAAGAATAAGCCTTACTATGAAAAATATAAATGGCTCCTAAACATAAAATACTTGTAACATAAAGTGGAAAATACACTGAACATAAATTCTGAATATGGAGCTTCATAGATATGTGTCAAATCATCAAATTATTTATTTTGGTGTTGAAGACTTAATCCAGTACCTTGAGCACATGAAACATACATCCTTTACCACTGGAGTTATATCCCAGCATCAAGCGTACCTCAACAAAGCTCTATGTGGAGCGAGGACCCCACTGAGATTATCATTTCTTATTTTTGAGACTGACAAAATTCCAAGTATTTAATGATATATTGCTAGTAAATCCAAAAGCAATACTGTATTTCACTGGGCAAATTTAAAATCCCCAATGAAGCAATATCAAGATAGATTGAAATGCATTTCCCACCAAATGAATGCCTTGGTCACATGGGGAGATAAAACTAACTCGAATAAAATTTAAGTACAGTATTTTAACTATGTAATCACACAGGTAGATGAAATCCACTAACTTTAAACACAGTATTTTAACTAGTCTAAAAAAAAAGAGCTATGTGAGAAAATGAAATTTTACTTAGGAGATCTGTTGTTGAAAGTGGTAGGACTATCATTTCTAAAACTAGCTTACATTTTAAGTGGATATATATGGGGATTTTGATACTGTTGGGAGCTAGGTTTATACTGTGAGGCAAGATAAACAGGTAAAAGAACTAAGGAAAGCAAAGAAGAATACTGACCATTGTCTTGAAATCAACATAAAGTATCAACATAAATTTGTGATTTAAAAAGTTATATTTTTAAATATGTCTTATCTCCAGCCCAAGACAGTCTCAATAAGTTGCACAGGCTATGATTGAACCTGTGATCATCTTCTTGCAGTCAAAAGATATCAAAAGATGACTGCATGAAGAAATGCTATGGTATGGAGGAACCTTAAAAACAAGCCAAGCAACAAAAGCCAGACACAAAAGGTCTATTAATATATGCTTTTATTTACAGGAAAATTTCAAAATGTGTCAAACATCTAGGGGTAGAAATTAAATTAGTGTTTGCTTCGGGTTAGGGGAAGAGGTAATGGAGAATAACAGCTAATGGGTGTTGCTTCTGGAGTTAATAAAATGCTCTGGAATTAAGACAGCGGTGATGGTTGTACACCTTTATAAATCTACTGAAAACCAATGAATTACACACTTTAAAGTACTTTTTAAAATGTAACTAGATAGCTCACTTCTAATCTGTGATACTTCACAACATCCTAGTGTACCCTCATTTCTCAATCATGTGCAAAGGAATATGTAAAAATGTTCTCTCTTCTATTCATCTCCTTTTCCATGGACACTTCGCTGAAACAGTTTGTCTTCCTACATACCTAGAGATTATTTTTTAAACTTACTTGAAGCAGTATATGCTAGCCACAGAAACAATGTCTCCCTTATTCACATTATCTGAAAATCTAGTTTATCCATCCGGGTCCTATTCTTGTGCATGTACTATTATATTTATGGTTTATTTTTACAAAAGTGAAACTATTATCTGTTTTTAACTCACATGGATACAACATAGGTAATTATATGGTCTTCCTCCAAATGGCATTCATCCTTGACACTTTCTTTACTTGCCATTCTAAAGCAGAGTCATTACTACATTTCTTTTTACTCTTCATACTAGGTCCCATTCTTGAGGCTGAGACAAGGCTCTAAGCTGTGAAGATTTGAAACTCTGTCTCACTATGTACACAGTCACTGTATGACTTTGGATGTTACATACCATTTCTTTGCCTTAATTTCTACGCTAGCCTACTTTACAGAGCTAAAGCATTAAATATTTTACTGGAATAAATACACTACACTTGCAGCACAGAAATACTTGTGTCCATTATCACATTATGACATCTCCCTATGAGTTTTACATTCTTTACTCAAATGAAGCGCATCATTTTTCAACTACACCTTGCCCTGTGCTACTTTATAATTTCCTTTGTTATAGACCACTCACCTGTAATGACTGGCTATCCAATACTTCTGAATTCTTTATATCACTGGAAAACTGATGCAAATACCGGGAAGCTGCCTTAACACCAGCCTCTTCTAAGTCTTCTAGAGTCCTGCTTGCCTAATGATTTACACCTGTATCAGGTAGTGGCAGGTTCTGGATATACTGGGGGTCAGGGGACATTCCTCAAACCAAAAACCCAAATCCTCAAGGTGACAACATTTTTCCCATTATCTTCTACAAGAGTGACCTAGTTCATTTGTCCTTAAAGACTCATTCAATATATCACCCAATACATCATCTTCAAGTGTACATTATCTCCACCAGGGTCTCTATACTTTTAGTGCTACCTGAATCCCATTTCCCCACTGGATCTCTAAGACTGTTCATTCTGAAACCTTTATATTTCTGGTCAAAATGTCTTTTTTGACCATTCTTATCTCCCTTGCCTTCACTTCGTGTCATCTTACATATGCTATGCTTACAAGTCTGTCATTTTGTATTCTTCAATAGATTATAAGCTGCAAACAAAGAGAGTATCTATTTTGTTTACTCCTGTCTCATCAGAAGTCAGAACAGGCCTCCATATTCATACATCTGACTGAATGTCAAGTACATCCTGGCATACTCAAGAGATGGAAAAGTAATCCAAAATTTTAGTTCTGATAATGAACCATTGTTAGGTTGGGCCATTATTAAAATTAAGGAAAGTAACATTAGGATGGATTGTTTGGAAGCTGATAAGACTGTTCTTGCAATGTTAATAACATGATTTCCAAAAATTTTTTAAAATGAAATGCTTTTAAGATACATAAGGAAAGACGTCAAAAGGGCAGCAGCATATTTAAGCTTAAAAATAAAAGGTTCAGGCTGCTCATATAAAACAGAAACTACTAATAGCCAGCAGTTAAAATCCTAAACTACAGGAGATTACAGAGAAAACGATGTTACACAAAAGGTAGAAAAGGTCCTAGAGGTTTAGGGCATTAGGGACAGGAGGAACTACCAAAATGGATTAAAAAATGATACAAGAGTAGTATCCCTAAGCTAAGTGAGAAGTGTCTCATGCAGACGTAAGCAAATGTTTGGAATAATTAAAACCTCATTGAAAACTGATTACAAATGAGAAATCTAGGTCATATGTCATTAACAAAAGCTATTCTGGTGAAGAGGTAGCATAATACTATTGGCCCATGCAGATACTTTGTATAGATTTGAACAATGTACCTCCTGAAGACACTTCACTTTTGTATATTATAAAGTTTCCATGTAATTACATTATTAAAATAAGATACTTAGTGCCATTTGCTGGAAAGCCATTGTCAAAAATATATGAACAATGCAACCTACAGTCTCTTTGTGTCTGAGACAAACTCTGATTAGAACAGGTTTAAAAGTAAAGAGAAAAGAGATAGTACAATAATGAATACAGACACGTGTTTCAAGAGTTTAGCTAACAATGAAATAAATGAGGGAATTGGTTGAGGAATATGTAGTTTTAATTTTTTGTCTTTTTTTTTTTTTTATTGGTACCAGGGATCGAACTCATGACTGCACACTTGCAAGGCAGGTGCTTATGCTGCTAAGCTAAATTTCTGGCCTCAACAGTTTCTTTCTTAAAGATATAGAATGTTACCAGAATACTGGTAAGAATATTTTAGTTGATAGGAAAAACTGATGACATAGAAGAGAAGGGAAAATTGTTGATTTGATGTTCTTAAGTAATAAAGGAGAAGGAAGTAATGAACCAGTGGTCAGGTAGATGGTTCACCTAGGGCAAAAGATGCATATCTAAATGCAGAAACATTCCCCGATTTGACAAAGGGAAGGTACAGATGACCTCCTCTACTTATTTTCTCAGTAAAATAAAAACAAGGTCATCCATCAGCTGAGAGTAAAAAGTGAGAAGTGAGAAAGCAATAAAGGATGGGAAAAGGAGAAATACTACCCAGCACAGTGGAAGAATGAGTAAAGAAAATGCGACAGTCTATCAGGCAGCTCTGAAGACCCTTTCAAATTTTATGGTCAATGCTTGAAAACCATTCCATAAGACTGTATGTGTTTCACCATCGACACACACAGTAGAGTGGGATTTAACCAGCTGTGAACAAGGAAAGACCAAGAAATTTGAGGATATACGCAAAAGAGTCATTGTACCTATGTGTACAAGAAAAATCAAAAACATCAAGGACCAAACAGCTACTCTGATAGGTTTAAGGTCAATTAAAAAGATTCCTCAAATTTTTCATTAAAAAATTCTCCAGACTACCTTACCAAATCCAGACTCAAGCCGATACTGTAATTCAATGCCTTTCCAATACAATCAAATACTTTTAACGATTATTAGATGGCTGTAAAACTCCAAAATGACAACCTGAATGTTCTAGTACCCAAATGTCCATAGGTCTTTCTAAACACTTTCAAGAATTTTGCTGATGGAGTCCCAGAAAGAATTAATACAAGCTGGTTAAACTTAGGTGTTTTTTCTAACTTCCAGAGAGGAGCTTATAATCTAGTAAGTAATCCTGAAACTAATGGCTGGGTTACAGACATAAGCTTTAAGAACCTCTTCTGTGTAATAGTATACATCTAGTGACATTTTACCTACTAGGATGTTTCCCACAATTTCTCAATACTATTGCATTAGTTCCACAAGATAAATCAAGCCCGCAATCACCTATCATCTCTTATTTTTAATTCTTTGCTTTTATTCTATTCCTTAAATTTAAAATATTTTTCATTTATTACTGACACAAGGGCTTTAAGAAAGAATACGTACGTTCTTACAAATCCTAACCACACACTGGTATATCTCAATTTTCCTTTATTAAAACTAGTTTTAAAAAATTCAAAATTTCCTTCATCAACAATGACAACAAAAAATAAGAATTCCAACTGTTGAACCTGCTTTTAAGAGGCAGCACCACTCAGAATCTTCAGTCACAATCCTTGTAGAATGCTGTTCTCCCAGTCAGATAACTGTTCTCCATGTCAACGTAAACACAACATTGGCCAGCCGTCAAGAACAAACTGCAAAAGTACCACCACCTAGAACTGAGGCCACAGTTGCTTGTAAGGAACAGAGGCATAGGTAATTAATTTAAAGAAAAGTTTTGTGAGAACAATTTGCTCAGGAAGACCAAGACTATTTGTTTTTCCACTTCAGTATAAAAATACGTGTCAGAAAAAGCCACAGAAATGTTTTTCATTTTGTCAATTTCTTTAAAAATTTTCTCCTTTCTTTACTAATTCTTTAGGAAGGCTATGCCCCACTTTCCTCACCCCAAAAAGCTGCATATTAGCAATGGACAAGAATTGATTAAAGAAATGAAGTTACTGAAGGTGACATGCTCCACATTCTGATTTCTATGCCACTAATGTTAATGCTTTAAGATATAACTGATGATAAGGTATAATTTACATTAAAATACAGGAAGTACATGGTGGGAAAGAGAGTGCTATTGGCACAAGATTCTATTCTTGCAATGCCATATACAAGCCCTAATACCTAAGGTTAAACAATAAATTAATCCAACTTATTATTTTCAAACTCAGTATTCAACAGCAAACACAAAATAACAATTTGTTAAAGCAAAAAACTATTGTTTAGAAGTAAGAGTTTGTCCAACCAAAACAGTTAAAAATACCATGGTCAAATTTAACTACTGCTTCCATCATTAGAGTGTTTCACCAATATTAGACAACTGTCTTATCAATTTCTTCAGTTTGCATTTGAAAATACAAGGAAGGTAAAAGAGACTAAAGCTGAAGAATTAATATGCTCTGTGAAGCCAGTCGTCTCCACAACATTCTTCTTTCTTCTGAAACCCAAAGACATCATGCTCTACACTCTCTACCTCCCAAATATATGGTACTGTTTTGGCAAAATGAAATGATAATAAAGTAAAGGCTAACAAAAATTGTTTTTAGCACAACTAAGTAAATACATAAAAGTCTTGTAAATTCAAAGAACTATTATAATTAGGAAGGCTCAGTTGTTTCATGCTATGTCTTTATCCTCCATTCAGAAAACACTTCTCTTTTGTATCTTGGTATGTTTACACAGACATTTTTACATTCTGGACCACTGTAACAATAAAGATCCACACAAGTGTTATACATAATAAATTTGGAAGGGGAACTAAAACTTTAAGCCTCCATCCAAGAAAAATGTGAATCACTGTTAATGCAATATTAGAATGTCTCTATATAAGCTGCTTTTAAAAACTGATATACTTTGCACGTAGAACAAATTAAGTTCCTCTTTCCCTCTGTAAATTCATTTAGCCCACTTAACAGTTTACCCTAAATGCCTCTTGGGCGGTGTGTAGTTGAAATAATTGGACTGGTAAGTGATTAAAGTGCATCTATGATTATCATATGAAGATTTGACAAGTTAAAGTCAGAGATAGGAAAACACCTGAGAAATGTCTTACTACAAAAATAAAGATCTTAATTTAAAGCTCATTTATTTTCAGGTGTGAAGGATTTTAGCTTTAGTATGTTTCTTTAGGTTACCTTATCCATAAGAACACAGTTAAAGCATAACCAACCTAAGTGAAAAGAAAATCCATGAACTGGGAAAATTTTGGCTGTCTTTCAAAGGACTTATATCTAGAATTTTTAAAAAACCAGGCCCCCCAAATTCAAAGACTCAGTCCAAAAATGGGCATCTGAGATCAATACACACTTCTCAGATGAAGAAACACAAATGGCAAACAAATATATGAAAAAATGTTCAGTATCATTCATTGGTCATTTGAGAGACACAAAACACCAGAGATTCCATTTCACTGCCAGAAAGAATGGCTACCATCAAAAAATAATCCAATGACAAATGCTGGTGGGGCTATGAGGAAAAAGGAATCCTTCTCCACTACTGGTGGAAGTGTAGGGTGGTGCAACCACCGTGGAAATAAATGTGGAGATTCCTCAAAAACCTTAGATTTGAGGTCCCATTTGACCCAGCTATTTCCCTGCTGGGTATCTTTCTAGGAGAATTAAAAGCATCACACCATAGCATTTACATGCGCACCTATGTTTATAGCAGCACAATTTGTAATAGTTAAATCTTGGAAACAACTTAAATGACTATCAATTGAAGAATGGATAGAAAGATTGAAGTTTGTTTTTTAATATAATGGAATACTACTCAGCCATAAAAAGTCAACCTTGAGACTTTTCTAGGTAAATAGATGCAGCTAGAGATCATACTCCTAAGTGAAATAAATCAGACTTGTATGTATAAACATCATATTGTCTCCCTAGTGTAAGAAACTGATAGAGAAAATAAGATCCACAAGGTACAATAGATATTGTGAAAGGGAAAGAAAATGCTCAAAAGGAAAGAAAAACTAGGATGGGGGAAAGGAGGAAACAAGAGAAATACATACATATATATATATATATATATATATACACACACACACACACACACACACACACACACATACATATATACACACACACAAGATAGCTAAGATAATTGTATTTTGTATTACTCATTCTATTAACTGAAAGGAACACTTAGTGCTTTTATTGTTGATCAATTTTGCATGTTGATATGTGGTAATTTGAGCAACTATTCTCTTGCCTCAGCCTCCAGAGTACTGCGATTACAGGCCTGTGCTACCATGTCTGGCTTGTTTTGAAATTCTGTATCATTTCTATTTTTTTAAATTCTCTTTCTTAAAAACCCTTAATGTAAGGTGTTGAAATTGTTACATAAAATTAGCAGAAGTACTAATTAGCATGCCAGCATGTGATCCTGGATTTGTGTCATAAATTCCTTGATCAAAAGGGTGCTTCTAGAAGGTATTACTTCTATAATCTAGAATTTATGATCACTGACCCTTTGGGCATAATAAAGTACAGAGTAGAGCTAAGTTAATAACAAGGTTGTAAATTCCTCATTACTCCAGAAACATGTATAGCCATTTTAAAAACACTAGTAGTAAGAACAAATACTCATGACACAAGCTGAATATCTTAACCAAGTATCTGGGAACAGAAAAGTGTTTTGGGTTTTAGAATATCTGCATATAAATGAAGATATCTGGGGGATGGCACCAAAGGCTAAAAATGAAACTAATTTATGTTTCACGCACACCTTATACACATAACCTAAAGGTCATTTTATACAACAGTGTATTTCCAGAGCATTTTTTTTTCCTTGTCTTCTTGCTATAGCACCTGTCTTTTTGACTATAATTTGTCACATGAGGTTTGGAGGGGAATTTTCTACTTGTACAGTCATCTCTACCCTACATAGTTTCAGATCTGGAGCACTTAAAATTTCGGATGTTTGGGTGAGCAATGCTCAACTACTGATGTGAAATCCTAAAGCATATGGAAGAATCTACAAAATAAAGAAATCTACAAAACAGAAAGCTGTATATCACATGTTAAAAAAAAAAAAGTACCCTACTGTATTCTTTGTGAAAGTGTTACTCACATTTACTGTATGCTGACCTTGCCTTTTCCCAGAAACATAGACTGAGACCATGATTGGCCTAGCCCACACCAATAAACAAAATAATTTGTCTTTATAAGTATGAACAAATCTCATACTCCAGATCTTGCAGGACCACTCTGCTGTTAAGATAGCTCCTTTTCTGCTTCCTCTGCATTTGTTATATTTTAAGTTAACTTTTACTTTGCATTATAACAGTCTTGACTCCCCCATTTCTTTGTTCTTTGCCAGAGTGAGAGCAAGGACCCAAAGAGAGATGGAGGCTCATTACAGGGGATTCCTAGTCCACCCTTAGAAGACACTCCACACCTCCCACCCTCTGCCAGAAGCTCTCTACCACTGAGCCACATCCCCAGCTCATAAAATCTTTTTTTGAATAGCACAAACCAGGGATTTTGAGCTTAAAATCATAAAATGTTATGATACAAATTCTTTCAAGAAAAAATATCACAAATAATATTTAACAACAAATTGAGCTATGTAAATTCTCAAACTAATGTGAGAGTCATTAGTGTTTATTTTTACACACATCAAATGATTTTAGGTTTAGCAGACAGGAGCTATTTAAGATAAGTATCCATTCATATCCAGAACTACATGGGAAAGAATACTTTGAACATTTATCCCCTTACATTATAATGGTAAACTCACAGGCTAAAACCTGCCTATAAATATCATGTGCTAAATATTATTTAGTTCTGCTTCTTTAGGTCTTCTATTGATAAGCTGTGTAATATTTACAACCAACAGCCCAATATTAAAGCCCTCTAAAGTTTTCATTAGTATCCCAGAGTGGATTTATGGGATAAAACTGACCTCTAAAGTAAACAGGATGGACTAAATGGGTTAGAATGTTTATAATTAAGTTTCACCACCTTGAAACAGTATGAATCCTCAGACTATAAAACATTATAAATTTCTATTTATAGTTTAAAAGTTCTCCTAAAATTTGAAAAAATGCTAAAGGAGATGCTTCCCTTGTATGACTTCCTATCCCATCAGAAATATATTTTTCCAGTTAATTTTCCTCTAAAATCAAACTAAAGCCTTGATTAGTTACCTGCCCAAGTTCAAAGATAGCAATATATATCCAGTCAATCTAAAAATGATAGATGCTTCAGTGTCTCCAGAATTTTATTTTAAAGGTTGTTCAAGACCAGGTTATGAGGTTACTGAAAACCTGGGTAATCATTTTGTGAAGTATATGAGATGAGATGAGATAGAAAAGAAAATAAAGTTTAAAAATATATATATTTTCTATTTTGTATACTCATTCGGTTAACTCTTGGTTGACCATTCAAAGTAACCAATCAGACTTCTCTCACTACATGGCTCACACCATTAATGTGATTTCTAAATTGTTAATTTAAAATACTTGTGCTTATTAAAAAGTAAAGTATATTAAAATTTTTACCAATTAAAACACACTTAACTAAAAGTAAGGAATTAGCCACTTTAAGAAATTAAAACAGAGTATAAGAACAATATTATAAAAATACTATAAAAGGCTGATACATCAAGACTGATGATGCTTTCTTTTTGAAGTGCTTTTAACACTAACCTTTCTTTAAATCTCAATGTGTATAGATAGCACATGGTGGAGAGACAATTGATAGCCAAACACAAACTTCCTGGGAGATATTCTGAGTCATTTATTAACAGGCTAAAATCATGAAAATCCTCTCCACAGTGCCATACACACACTTTCCAACATGGCAATACCTGTCATTGTCATGGATAGCATAGAGCTTCTTAAAATCCTCTTCCTTTCAAAAGAATTCAATCAGAAACAGAACTGTAAAACTAAAGACTCAGTATAAAATAAGCTCTCCCAAATATTCCTCATGTGACCAATCTTTTATAAATATCAGAAAAGGTACACCATCAACTTGGATGACAAGCATCCCAAGGCCTAAAAGGCTTAACACTCATATTTCAGTCATGGTTGTGTGGCCAGGAAAACGAGCACCATGACGGACTCCTGCATTCTTCACATTGTGCTCATGGACACAGTCTGGGTAGTTTCTATGTGCGGTCAGGGGTGGGGGCAGGCCCCTTGTATTCAGCTGGTTTCCACCATGTTGACAGCAGTCACTGGCAGCAGAGAGCCTGGATGGTTGGGGAGTGGGAAGGGAGCAGAGTTAGTGAGTAGGAACCGGAGAAATCAGATGTGAAAGACGTAATCAGGAAAAAAGCAATGTGATTAGCATGCACCATTGCTCTGAGCATCTACCAACATATATACTCCATGCAACAACATTCAAGAACAACAAGGGGGAGAAATACACAAAAGGATACATATTGGAAAAGTAACAATTTGTGTGAGTAATCAGAATTAGCTAAATTAATTAAAGGGAAATTTCACAGAGAGAAAGACATTCTGTATCTGTTCCTGAAATGGTTCAAAAAAAAAAAAAAAATCAAAGGCAGCAATGTTTGGGTTCCAATGAAAAGAAATAAATACTGCAGGCCAGGGTGTAGTGGTACACATTTGTTAATTCCAGCACTTGGGAGGCTAAGGCAGGAAAAGGCCAGATGAAAGTTGGAGGAAACTACATATCAAGACCCTGTCTCAAACAAAAACAAAAACACCCAGAAACAAAGAACAAAATTACAATCTACTTAACTCAAATATCTGAAAGGTGAATGCTACTCAAGGACAAAGGCTTATGTAGAGAAGGACAATTGTGAAAATTGTCCCCCAAACTGAGATTTCACAAAACGGAAATCCAGAAAACAATTAAAAATATTAAAAAAAAAAAAAGGAACTTCAGAAGCCATGCAATTTTGCATCAGTGTTTCCAATTAATAATCACTGTATTTTTCAGCCAAAGTTCAAGGGACATCAAAATGAAATACAACAGGTACAGATACTGTGATGAGATTTAAGTCCCTTCCAAGAACCAATTTAATAAGAATATTAGATACCTTCTATTACCGTGCTACAGAACAAGCCTACAGAATCAGAAGACTGAAACATGCAGACACATAGTTATGGGGTTAGATGTGATCAGTCCTCCAATAGAAAAATTGACAAGGTTCAGCAAATCAAAATTTTATAATATGACAAAAGGGAAGTAGATTATTTCAAACAACTACAAAGAGAAAAATCATCCCAAATATAAAATTATCTCTCAAAATATTTTAAAATAGTGTTATTTTCCTAACTGAACCAAAATATCAGCCCTCAACTTTTTCCCTCAGGAAAACTGAAAAGGATTTTTCACAACAAATACGGAAGGCATTTTTTAAACAATAAAAATCTTTTCTTCAAATAAAATTATTGTATTAGACATAAAAATCATGACACTCAAGTCTGAAAATTTAGAAAATCAGGCTTATGTTCTCCCTTATAAATGTAAGATTTTCTTAAATACTATTCAGTTTTCTTTTCTTGTTTACAAATGATTTATATATTTAAATTACATGAAGTGATGAATTTTGAGTTACTGATTAAATATTCACCAAATTAATGATACCACTTAAAACATCAGCAACAAAAAGCTAAAGGTTTCAACAGGGACTAGGTTTAAATTGGCTACAAATCGTAAGAAATAAGATGGTCTATTATTCTGCCCAAGTGTTCAAACCTAGGGAACATTTTGAAATTTAACCTTTCTAAAGGAGGAAAGTTCCATATTCTTTTAAGGCATGCAGAAACTCAGAATTCAATGCAGAATGTATTTTAAATAAGGCTGGAAAATCCATTAGCTCCAAGACATGCCAGAGCCGTATTTTAGTGCTATGCCCTGTTAACACACACCGAGGCTCATCAGATTTTAGGGATCATTACTACATTTCAGAAAAGGAGGTCTCAGCACAACTACATAAAAGGAGGACACACAGCTCCAAATTTTTCATTTCTCTTGAAAAATCAATTAAGCTCAATACATACATTCGCTCTCTAGAGGATGCAGCAAAACATCTGGGTATGGCCTAACAAAGGGATTTAAACATATACCTACTAGGCTGAAAAAACTCAAAGGTATAATGTTAGAACAAAGGATGCAAACTAGCCAAATTCTCATTCTTTATTAAAAGACAAACATATTAAGGCAGTTTTTTTAATTGTTGACATCCCAGTATTACTTTTCTTTGCCAGTAAGTGAATGGAAAGAAAGAAAGCTTAAGAAGATAAAAACATAGTTATTTTTTGGAGCTGTATTTTCAATAAGGAATTAAACTTTTTAAAATGGCTTTAAAACTAAAATTTGACATTTAATGGCCTCATTCTTGAAACTGTGTGTCCACATGCACAAAGTAGCCTCACCATACAGCACAGGTAAGAAAAAAAATTCTTTTAAAAGGAAAAATGTGAAATCCTTCTGATCTTAATCACAAGTTATTCGGAACTGAAGTAAAAATATTCACCCCAAGAGCAAAGCACCCTGCAGTTAGTTAAGCCAATAGTAATAGTGAAAAACAAAAATTACATAGCAAAGACTAAATATAATCACCAACCACTGTTGACCCACCACCATGAAGGAAGAACTGGTTGCATAGAAAGCTGACCAAAACCTTGAGATCACCACAGAAACTCATTAGATTTCAGGTACTAAACCAACTAAGAGCAAGAGAAAAAGAGAAAAATCCTATGAATCATCAAAGTTTAATAATAAATAAACAAAAAATTTGAACAGATGATACACATAATATGATCACTGAATCAAATAATTCTCAAGCAGCACCACCCTTCCCAAAGCTGCATACATTTGGGAAAAAATGAAGTCAACCGATCAACTCCACTAAGCCACAAAATATCCATATTTGTGTATTTGTTATCTATCTAGAAAAAGACCCTGGAACGCTAAATAAATATCTTTGTTCTTATCAGATTATCTCTGAATCTCCAAAATATGGTATATTTCATGCTTTTTTTTTTTTTGGCAGTACTGGGGATCAAACTCATGACCTCGTGCTTGCCAGGCAGCCACTTATGCCACTGAGCTAACTCCCCAGCCCTCATGCTATATTTTATAAGACTTCAATCATTTTCCTTTTTGACTTTACATTTAGTCTTTAGTGAAGAAAACATTTAAAGTTGTAACATCATGCTGCATGGAAAGACATGTAACATTTTCTTATAGATCCGGGAAAGTTTTAGTGACTAGCAGGAAAGTTTTTTCAACAGAGAACCATCTACCACTCCCAGATCATGCTTATCAAAACAAAGACAGCCATCTCAACAAAGACAGCATCAAAGATATTAACATTTCTGTTATAGGAAAAAAAAATTATCAGTAGTATCCAAAACTAAGACTAGGTGCATACTTGCTTTTCTTTAAAAAAAAAAAAAAAAAAAAAAAAAAAAAACTTTGCTTTTTTATAGGCTGCTCATTTGATATTTCCATAAACATTTATTTTAATTTTGCTTTAGTATATGTACTGCCAAAGTGAGCACTTAGTCTTGCTTTAGACATTTCTTCATTTGGACAAATGCACTTTCTTCCTCATCCACATACCTTATTTTCCTTACTTCTATGACTGATCAACATTATGCTTGTCAGCTCACAAATATGAATAATTTGCTTTTAACCATGTTTAAAGTATTCCAAGATTATAGCATATAATTTAGAAATAATTAAACAAGCAATAATTTGGTTTAAGAAATTAACAAACCATTTCCTGTCATGCTGATCCATCCCAGAACTCCTTGGAAGATTCTCTATTTCCACCAGCACAGGGCCAGAGGATGTCGAAGGAATCACAGGCACAGTTGATCTCACACCCCAAGCCTTTGGGCAAAAATTATAAAAATCATTTATTTTTCTTAGAGAAAATATCACAAATAGAGTAGTAAAATAGAATCCTATTCATATAGTGATAAACATAGGACTCTTATAATGATTTTATTGAATATTAGTATTTTCTTAATTTTCCTGGAATTACAGGGACAGAAAATGTTTTATAGCGCATTTGCTCTAATTATAACATCTTAAAACAAGGAGTTAGACATTACTGAGTCACTTAAAATAGATGAAGAAAATGAAATTAATATTATTTAATATAATTAACTAAAATGTTCTAGTGTTTTTGAAGCTTAATAATATCTTACCTGTTGTGACTCATTATTCTGGGTTGAAACACTGTTGTGAACACTGTAATAGGGAGAAAATATATTAAGGAATTATATCTAAAATTGCAAGGCTTTAATTTTAAGACTATATACAACAGTGAAAACAGAATCAAAGATAGCAACATTTCTGTTATAGAAAAAAAAAAAAATTATCAGTAGTATCCAAAACTAAGACTGTCAGATGCCCAGAGAATATTTATAGGTGCATACTTGTTTTTCTTTTTTTTTTTAAAAACACTTTGCTTTTTTATAGGCTGCTCATTTGATATTTCCATAAACATTTATTTTAATTTTGCTTTAGTATATGTACTGCCAAAGTGAGCACTTAGTCCTGCTTTAGACACTTACTTTTTATCTTGTTTATTCATTGGACAAAGATGGCAAAAAAAAGAAAAGCATAAACAATTCCTTAAAGAAACCCAGCACAATGTTCCATGTGAATATACTAGTCACTTTTATATGTTCCTACTCACTCAGTATTTTCCACTGTCAGCAAGAGCTCAGTATTTTATTACCCCAAAGGCTTTACTATAAAGTCAGAAATTTCTATGTATGCTTTTCTCTCCAAATAATTTATAAATATATTTAAAAGTTTGGGTTTAGGTTGTACTCTGTGCCACCATCCAACCTGCCCTGCCTTTTAAAAAACTTCAAACCCTCTCAACCTATAACAAAAACAAACTGTAAAATAGTAGAAAATAAAATAATGCATTCAATAAAATAAGGATTCAAATGTTACCCCATCAGAATGAAGGAAAAATGACTGTCAACTTCAGACATTCTAACGCAATAATTGGTACCTCTGAAGTAAAAATACAATGTAAAAGAAGATATATTAAAAGTTTTTAGAAGAAAATTTCTTGAAAGTGAAAAAACAGCCTACAGATTTAATGGTAGCACCATCCTCCAGGAAAATGAGATACACAATTAAATACAGTCAAACACTTATTAGGGTCCTTAAAGGATAAGACACACCAAGCACACTTAAAAGCAAGTCAATGCGAGTGTCAGGCTGGCATACACTTCTTCATAACAATATTCAAGAGCAGTATAACCTTGCTAAGATATCACTCTACTAACAACAAAGCTTCTTAAACACAAAATCTGACTATAGCATCCAGACTAAGAATTTAAGAAATGACAGCAAAACAAAATCTACCTCAAGATGAAACCCAACCAATTAAGAAAGAACTCAAGATTAAAGAGGCCCATTGAAAGGCTAGGTAATGAGAAGTGGGCCATTTATATCCTACTTTTTATGAACTACATTTCAATTACAGGGGCAATCACCAGAATTTGCATTCCTATTGTCTGGAGTCAAATTCAAATTGTGCCATTAACTCTTTCTCTGCTCCTTAGGTTCCTCAAGTGCATGAGATTTAAGAGAATTAAATTAATAATTAACAAAAGGACAAAGAAAAGTGATAAAACCAACCAGTCAATAAGAAAAACTGTTCTATGATATAGTTTAATAACTAGATTAAATGAATGATCCATTTAAAAAAATTTTTAACATGAAATAATTAAACATAATCATGGACACAGCGTGACATTTGATTATGTACACAGGATGCACTGATCAAACCAGAGTAATGAGCATTCTTTCCTTTTTACTATCATTTATGTTTGGAGTCTTCTAGGTCCTCTATTCTAAAGCTTCATAAAATATACACTAAATTGATTTGAAAAATCTCTTTTTAAAACCTAACTGATTTCGTCATGCTTTGACCTGTATTGTTATATTGTTATGTCCTGTTTTATCTCAATCTCTGCCTTATTCATTAAAAAATTACTTAGTTATTTCTTATGTTTTTTTTTAATTAAGGGGAAAAATTTAAAAAATTAGCAGGGTATATAATAGTAACTTTTTTGATTTCCTATTAACTTGTTTGGAAGTCCTGTAATACTCCCACTATCTTGTTTTGACTGATTAGACTCTGTTCCATTCTGTATGATAGTATCAAGTTTGAGGGTATAGGCAACTACTTTGAAGGCAGTAAGATTCACTAAGATGCCCATTCTGGTTTGACTATTGTCTCCTTTGGAAGTCCTGTAATGTTTACAATGCTTAAGTTTTATTGGTCTTGTTCTCTACTGTTTTGTTCAACTTTATAATATCTAATGAGATAGACAATTCTTTTTAAGGAAACAAGAGACATCGTTGATAACCATTGTTGATAACCTTGTACTCTGTTTTACATCATGTGCTATGTCTATCCTTGGTTTGACTGACAGCTTTGTTTTGCCATATTTGACTTTATTCTCCCCCCCCCAAAAGTAATAAGAACTAAGGAGTAATAAAACCCAAAATGTGTAAATTTTGTTGTAAAAAAGAAAGGGAAAAAAAAAAAAAGAGTTCTAAATGATACAACAGCAAGAGTGTTTAGGGGTGTTAAATAGCTGACCATATTAATGTTTTTGGTTGGATCACTGAACACAACTGTTTGCAGTCTCTCTGTTTGAGGGTCCACTTTGTATGCTTTGATACTGTAATTTGAGCACTATCTCTAAGATGATAATATGTAATCTATTAACCGGTGATTTCTTACTGTTTTTTTTTTTTTTTTTTTTGGTAGTTCTGTATTACTTGTACCCTTACACTGCTTTGTTTTGTTTTTTCTCTTTTTCCTTTTAAATAAAATTAAAAAAAAAAAAACCTAACTGATTTCTCCTTCTCCAATCTTATTAAAGGCATAGTTTTGTAACTAATTTTTTACTCATAATATATAACTTGAAATATAATTTCAGTCTTAAGAACTTTGCAATTTTACCTTCAAATCAATTACGAAATCATTAAAACACAGAAAAAGTGTAGCTCCTTTGACAAGGTAACCAAAAAAATACGCAAGTAAAGCTCAACTTTTTACTGTACTGCTCTTCCCAAAATGTTATGCAATATAAGTAAATGATGATCCTGAACATTACTGAAGCTGCATGCAGCTTGCTTGCTATAGAAATTAGACTCACTGATCTGTGATACTGTGTAGTCCCTTTATTATCCTCTGAAGCTGTTCCTTTATTTGGAAATAACTTCAGTTGAAGTGATGAGAGAAAAATAGTTGAAGTGATGAGAGAAAAATAAATAAGGTTAACATAAAAAATGCTTATAATAAGTTATAATGAATCACAGCTGCTTTTTTTCAGGTAAGTTACACTGCAGAAAGCACTATTTTCTTACAATTATACTATTTTACTTTCAGGAGTATGAAATCATTGATTTCTCATTACTAACCTAGTCATAGCTTTCCTTTAGAAATAATCACATATAGTAAATTACCTTTTTTATTCCTATCGCCCCTCTACTTGTTTCTTCTTTTTCTCCCTTTTCTGTTCATTCAATTCGTATAAAAAGAACTAACAGACGCTGCAGTACACACAGTCTCAGCTATTCAGGAGGCTGAGGCAGGAGGGTCACTTGAACCCATAAGTTTGAGACCAGCCTGGGCCAGGACCCGTTCTCAAAAATAAAGTATTGGTGAGGAACCAGAATGTTGACTATCCGGTTAATGCCACCACTTCTTAATAAACTTTGAGTAAGATTCACAAGAAAGTTGGAGACAAAAATACAATATAAGGAGACAAAACAACATAAAGATGGAAGTATAAGGAAAATTACTGTCATCAGGCAATTAAAAAAAACCCTAAAACTGCAAAGTACACAGTCAAGACGTTTTTTATGTCAAACTGCTGTGTCCTTTCAAAAAATATTGTTTTCCATGGTTCACTGGAGTGAAACCATTCATGCAAACAACTGCAAGGCCAAAGTAAAAGGGCACATATGTGAGTTCAAGCACAGGTTCTCTCATGCACTATTATAACTGGCACTCAGCGGAGCTGGGGCTCCCTCTTCCCTGCTTTTCTAAAAGGTTATTTTTACTTGAAAATAAAAAGACTGTCAGTGCTTTAAGTATCCAATTTCTACTATTAACCTGCACTAAAGCATTACTTTTAGGTTAATCTTTATTCTAAGACATTTTTTCATGCTCCGTTTCTAATCAGAAACATGTACTTCAGAACATTTTCATTATGACTGGGATCTAAAATGTCTCCGAAAGTTTTCATATATTCAGAAGTGCGGCTGTTGAAAGGTGACTGGGCTATGGGAAGGTACACCTCAGTGGAACAGTCCATTTATGAATTCATAGCCAAAGGAGGTGTTAGATGGCAGGGTCTGGTTGAAGAGGGTGCCACTGGGAGTGCACCTTTGCAGGGTATTGCTCGTTCCTCAACTCCTAACCTTCTCTCTTTGCTTCCTTGCTGCCACAGGGCGAGCAGCTGTCCTCCATTACACCCTTCTACCTTGAAGTCAGCCAACTGCAGACTGAACCCTCTGAAATCCACGAGCCAAAATAAACCTGTCCTCCTTTAAGCTGCAGGTGTTGGATATTTTATTTCAGTAACAGGAAAGCGACTAAATCTTAAATGACCTTTAATTTCGCGAATACAGTAAAACACTGGAATGCTTTTGTTTACAAACCATTTGAGTTTTGTTTGCAAACTCTACATTAGAGATGACTGCGGAACAAATTAATCTGGGGAAGTGAGGTGTCACTAAGTCTTAACTTTTCAACATCATAATGCCTTTTTCGTATTTCTACAAACTTCACTAGGTGGACTTTCATTTTATATTGTTCCAGCTGCCTTTTCAGGAAAGCAAGACATGATGTATTATTAAGCAAAATGTTTAATAAGTACATAGTACCTCTGAAATTTTCCCACCGCTTTTCTATTAAAAGCTCTTCTTAGAAATAAATGTAAGCCGGGCATGGTGTGGCGTACTCCTATAATTTCAGCACTTGGGAGGCTGAAGCAAGAGGGTTGTTACAAGTTCCAGACCAGCCTCACAAAGTGAGCCGAACACCAGCCTTAACTGCACTCAAGACCTTGTCTCAAAAATAAAATAATAAAATTTTAAAAAATAAAGACAAAGGGGCTGGGGATTTAGCTCAGCGGCATAAGTGCAAGCAGGCGGTCGGGAGTTCGATCCCCGGTATCGATAAAAAGGAAAAAGACAAAAAAAAAAAAAAAATAATAATAATAAATAAATAAAGACAAAAAAAGCGCAAGCAAGCAAGCACAACCCCCAGTCAAGACATAAAATTTTGGTACTTTACATAATTAAATTTTCCCCCAATAAAGAGAACGCTTTACTTTCTCCCTGTTATTTTTAACAGCCTACTAACGGCTAAAAACATTTAACAGCAATCTTTGTTCAAAACAGAGTGCTTTTGCAGTGAATTGTTATACAGAGTCTAGCTTTAATAATTTTTCAAGTGAAAAAACTGATTAGGATAATTTCAAGGTGAGTCTGACCATATTTAACACCCCGAAACAGTACAAATAAATTTTAGAAGAAACTAGATTTGTGGGTATGGTCAGAACATGATTCTTTAGATAGACATTCCAGCAGACCTTAATACAATAGTTTGTGAAAAGCTTTATAACATTATATGTACAATAATATACATTACTAAAATTAATGGAGCTATCAAAAGTATGCCTTAATACATATAAGGGTCTAAAGTCATACAAAATTTGTTCTCTAGCCACAAAGAATGAAATTTGAAGAAAAATCAAAACATTCACAAATATGTGGAAATTAAGCAACACATTTCTAAGTAATCCACAGGTCGTAAAAATAAAATATTTCCTGTCAAATCACAAGTTAGAAAATAATCTGAGATGAATAAAAAAAAGAAAGTAAAATATATGGAATATAATTAAGCAGTTTTAGAAGAAAATTCATAGCTGAATTATGTTAAAAAGAAAATAAAAACTGGGCACAGTTTTTATTTACATCCACAATCCCAGTTACTTGGGAGGCGGGGCAATAGAGTGAGACCTGTTTAAAATTTTTTTTTTTTTTTAGTACAGGGAATTGAACTCACGACCTTGACTTGGTAGGCAGGCACTGTACCACTGAGCTATATCCCCAGTTAAAATTTGTGTGTTAGCTCAGTGGTAAAGTACTATCCTATTATGAAGTTCCCAGTACTATAAAAACAAAACACACCAGAATAAAGATCTAAACTAAATCCTAAACCAAACAGAAGAAAGAAGCATTAGAGTGAACCTTAATGAATGTAACAATAAATTTAAAAAAAAAAAAATCAATGAAACCAAAAGCTGGTTCTATTTCAATAGCAAAAACAAAACAAAAACTCTTTTAGCTTGACCACACATACAAAAAAGTAAAATATCAAAAAAGAAAGAGAAGCAGTACAATACTAGAAAGAAAAACTGGAATAATATGAACTATGTACCAAAAAAAGTAGATAAATGAGATTGAGAAATTTAAGAAACATGAAGACCCAAACTGATTCAAAATGAAAAATAGACTTGTAATAGGAGACTCAAGAATTTTAAAACTTCACACAAGAGAAAATCCGGATCAGATGGTTTTGATAGTGAATTCTACTACAGATTCAAGGAATAATATCAATTCTTTAAAACTCATCTCAAAAAATAGGAGACAATAATTATAAACATATTCTGCTGAGACCTGATATCTGATATTAAAGCCAGCCTAAGACATACATAAAAATTTCAGACCAAAATACTAGTAAACTAAAATCCCACAGTATCTAAGGGAAAATTATATACCACGACCAAGTGGGACTGATCCTAAAACTAAAACTGTTTACTTGCAAAATAATCTTTGTTCCTGGAGATACTTATTTGTAAGGATTATAATTTATCTTTATATCCTTAGGCACTTGCCAGTAACAAATTTCATTCTCATACCATATCAACTCTCATTTCATTCTTCAACTGCTTAATTTTTCTTATTTTTATCTGGCATTGTGTGTGTATTTATTCCCTGCTATACCTCTAATGCTGAGAGACAGCTTGACAATAAGACAGGTCTTATACAAATATTTAATGGCAGCAACTACATAAATTTCCAGAATATTCTACATCAATTCCTAGCTTCACAACATTACTCACCTGAGTTCTTCAGGTTTCGGTGTACTTGCTGACAGAATAAAAAAACATAACATCACATTAGTTTCACTCTACATGATAAATTGCTTCACTATTTCTCAAAGTAAAGCCTTGATTTATTGCTTTATAAAAGTCATGTTTCATAGAGATTTTTAAACCATTTTACAAAAGTTCATAACAGTAAAGGCAATAATACTGATTATTTCCATTTTAAAAATAATGTTAAGTATCTTCCTTTTGAAAACTAATCTATCTACAAGCCCAGTTATGTAAAGATGATTGCTTCTGAATCTTGCCAGTGGAAAACGAGGAGTAACAGGATTTAAATCATCATAAACTAAGATGTCAAGGCCTGGGATTTAAGCTACAATATACCATAAAAAAAAAAAAGAGGTATAGCTATATATTATTTAATTTATAATTATAAAATTATGATTTAAACAATACTGCCACATATTAGATCGTGGCAGTTGTTTTGGAAAATGGACATAATTAAAATTCAATTTGTATTTTAATACAAATTCAGATTCAAACTCAAACTCAAATTTTAATTTTGTCAAAGTAAATCATCATTTTCTTCCTTAATTGAAGCATCTTAGTTTGGAAATATGTACAGATGATGTACACTTATGATTAAATTTTAAAACTATATTTAACAGAATTCTTAGTAAAACAATATCATATGAAATAATTTTCATTTAAAATGTCCATCACATGCTATTTTTTAACTCCTAAAGGAATCAATAAACATTTTATTATGAATGATATCTGTAAGTCAAAAAAGGAGAAAAAATGTTGCTCTACAGAAAATCTGAAATAGATAATACAAAAATTGAATACAATCTTAAAACACTATCTGAATTAATATAATTTAATCTCAGCTAATACTATAGGCAATTTTCCCTTGTCTATACAGAACTTTTTAAGCTATAGGAGTACTTTGGTTGACTGGAAGAGACCAACAGAGATTGAGGTAACTTCCTTTCAAGTCAACAACACGAAACTGTTAGAAAAAACAGTTTTCAGACAGGGTTGCTCTTCACCTTTCATTTGTAGAGTTCGTCGAGAATATCGTTTGCTGGGTCTTCTTTCAAAGGATGTTGATCTTCTAGCTTTATTGGTTTTTGTAGTCTGATACTCAGTTTTCCCACTAAAATAAGGTAAGTCAACAGAACAAACTAAAGCCCACAGTAACCAGACACATGAGAATTTCACCCTGAAGAAACTACTACTACTAATCTTATTTTTTTTTTTGTCTTTTTCCTTTTTATCGGTACCAGGAATTGAACTCATGACTGCCTGCTTGCAAGGCAGGCGCTTATGCCGCTGAGCTAAATCCCCAGCCCACTACTACTAATCTTAATGTCTCTTTTTACTTCATCACTCTCTCACTTTAGGCTTGTGACAGACACCATAGATTACACTGCTATTTCTTTTAAAGCAGGCATATCATCTAGGAAAATGGCAAGTGAGTCTAGGATATGCTCTTACTGAATGTCCTCCTATCTACACTCCTCAGAGCAAAGTGTACAATAAAACAAGATTATCAGCTATTGTTTCTAACTATGATATGCTTATCAGAACAATTTTCCAAAAACATTTAAAAACCTATTATCCTGCTTCTCTTATTTCCATTTCAATTCTAAGAAAATGTGTCCTTTTTTTAAAAAGGTACAACAGAAGCTCTCTTACCTGAATTCTATATAACTGACTTGCCATATTATTATTAGCCACTCTTTAATCACATTGATACTCACAGCATGTTGAAAAGTCAAAACTAATAATCTCCTACATTATTATATAATCAGAAACATTTCTAACTCATGACAGGCAAATAAGAAATTTATAAGAATGGGACTCCAAGTTAATAAAAAACCACAAATATTATTCAGATTAATCTCACTCAGAGCAAGATACCCTTTTGCTGTATGGTTTTCTAATAGCTGGACACAAAATCCATAAAACTAGTCACTAGAAGAATTTAAACTGACAGTCAGTTAACATATAAAATAAGTCTCAAGGGTTATAAAATCCACAATACAATTATATGACTTCTTATCTATTCAAGAAATTGTAGCTAGTATTATTTATTTTTGCAAATGGGTGACTTTGTCAAATCACTTAATTTTTCCATGCTTTATTTTCTGTAGTATAAAATAAGAGGTCAGCCTATATAAAAGAATGGAAGATACAGAAAACTGGTACTAAAATTAACCTGTATCTAAATCGTGATCCTAGTCGAATAAATCCTGAGCGATGAGAACTCTTTTGGGCAGGGCCTCGGAGGCGGAAAAAGGCATGATGCTCCACAGCACATTTCCACAAATGTTTGCATGCTTTTGGATGATCCAGTCTAAAGACAAATGTATGCTCCTGCTCTTTGCCCTAAAAAAAGGAGGACACAGGAAATTACTATTAGGTTTAACAGTCCTAAATCCTCTTTCTGAGATACAAATACAATCACAGTAAGACCAAGAAGCAAGTAATCAAAAGCCCCTACCAGTACACGGGCAGGAAGATAAGAGCAACTTCCCCCACTGTAAGCAATTAGCTGATCTGGAGAAAACACAGGCTGTGATGATAGCTACTGAGGTTAAGATACAAGTTAATGTTTATAGTGTTTAGTGTTTCACTGACTTTGTAGGCCTAAACCCAGTAGTCTGATCACCTATTCTGAGGATAACAATATGCAATGTACCATCTATGTGGCATCTCCTTCTGAGGGTAGTGGCCATTGTTAATTCCCTATTATCTTGTTTTGAAGTCCTGTATCACTTTCATTGTTTTATTTGGCTGAATTTTATTCTGTTTTGTCTTGTTTGATTTTATCATATGCAATGGCATGGGCAGCAGCTATTTCAAAGATAACAAGATGTATTATTGTAGCTATTTTGGATTTACTATTATCTTGTTTTAAAGTCCTGCATTGTATTCATTGTCTCGTTTTTACTGATTCTGCTCTGTTTGATTTTTACTATGTCTGAAGGTATGGTCAGCTATTTTGAAGATGACAAGAGGCATCATGGTAACAACTGTTAATTTCCTATTATCGTGTTTTGAAGTCTTGTGTCACACTGTTTTGTCTTTATATTGGCTTTATATTGTTTTATTCTGGTTTTATTCTCTTTAAAATAAAAAAAATTTTTAAAAGGATCATATAAGATCTGGCCATACGTATGAACAGCCTTAAAAAAGTTCATTGTTTTCATTGTAATAACCACATTTTCAGGAATCAAAATAGTTAAAATTCATAGGCCTTTTTCTAAAGACTTCACATGAGCTGCTCCAATGAACAGATAGTACTATTAGCATAATTTCACAGATATAGAAACTTGGGGTTAAAGGAAATTAAGCCCAAAGTCATAAAGTTAGCAGGACAGGAATAAGAATCTGAATCCTACTAGCCTTGACTCTAGAGCCTATAACAATAACAACTAAATTACACTGCCTCTTTAGGAAAAATAATTTTTGGCAGTAATTTTCTATAGTAAAAACCTAGAATGTCTAAAAATTGAGAAAAGGTCAAGTAAATAATGACAGACTTTAACAATATACAAAGCTGCTGTGACAGCACAAATTTATAATCCCAGCTACTTTAAAGACTGACGCAGGAGGAACACAAGTTTCAGGCTAGCTGTGTGCCTAAAGTAAAACACTGTCTCCAAAAGTAAGAGCTAGGGGCTGTGGATTTAGCTCAGAAGCATAAGCGCCTGCCTTGCAAGCAGGCGGTCGTGAGTTTGATCCCCAGTACCGGGAAAAACGAAAAAGACATTAAAAAAAAAAAAAGAGCTGAGGATATAGCTCATTAGTAGAGTGCCTGTCTAGCATGCAAGACATCCTTGGTTCAACTCCCAGTACTATAAAAACAAAACAAAACAACTATGGAGTTAGGGATATAGCTCAGTGATACAGCACTTGCCTAGAATAAATGAGGCTCTGTGTCCAATCCTGGTACCACATACATAAAAATATGAAATAAAAATAACTATAGAGATAAATGAATAAAAGTACTGCTTACTTATATTACAGTGTCATATAGATGCTAAAATAAGTGAACTTGATCTATATCGCTTCACATTTAGATAAAACAAGCTAGAAATAAATATATACACATACATGTGCATACATGTAAATTTTAAGAACACTATGTGTTATGATGTTTTTATATCTGGATATATAAAAATGATATCCTCTGAAAATGATGGCCAGCTACAAGGAAGAATACTTGGGGCATTACACTGTATTATTTGTTCATATCTATCTGTATAGATACTTTTATATCTAAAAGAGCTCTAAAGGAGCATGATGGAACCTACCTACATCCCAGCACTCAGAAGGTTGAAGCAGAATCGCCTCGAACTTGAGGCAAGCCTGGGATATACAATGAGTCCAAAGTGAGCCTCAATCTCATAGCAAGACCTTGTCTCAAATAAACAAAATTGAAGCACAATGTAAAATACTCTAAATCTCGTTCATATAAAAAATGTTTTATATTCTCCAGTTTATTTAAAATATTTTATAATTTAAATGACTTCCCACTTTATAGTTCATCATTTTTCTTCCTTTTCCCCTGTAATGGGACTGAAATCAGGGTCTCTTTATTGAGCTCGCTCTCCAACTCGTTTTTTTTTTTTGTTTTGTTTTGTTTTTTTAAGTATTTGTTTTTCCTTGTTTAGAGACAGGGTCTCTCTATATAGTCCAGGCTGGCTTGAATTTGCTATGTTGCCCAGGAACTTAAGGAGATCCTCCTGTCTCAGCCTCCCAAGTCAATGTGTGCATCTTCATGTCCGGCTTTTTAATTTCTTTTGCAGACAGGGTTTCTCTAGGTCTCTCCAGGCTCAGATCAAACTTGTGATCTTCTTGACTCAGCTTCTCAGAGTGCTGGGATTACAACTGTGCCCCACCATGCCTAGCTCTTCATGATCTTGATAAAGAACACCAAACATTTACTTCCCCAATGCAGAGAGTGAATCACAAGAGGAAGAGAGAGATGGAAAGAGGGAAATGGGGAGGAGAGAAAAGGAGAAACCTGAGGCAGTAAGATCATACTGCTGGTGAGAACACTTTGGAAAACAGATAACCATGACCCAGTTATCAATGCATACCCTAGTATCCATAATTGACCTTTTCACAGCTGAAAACTGAAAATAACTCCCATCATTCAGGTGTGGCAGAATGAAAAATATTTGTTGTCTATTCATAAATGGAATATTAAAACAGTAAGAATGTGCCAACTGTTACTACTTGCCATAACAGAAACACAGTACTGAAACAAAAACCAGGCCACTGTGTTCTTTCTTGCATGGGTGGCTATCCTCATGCTTTGGGTTGCACTTCTTTTCCTACTTTTACCTGGCACACACTGGCTCTGCAGAGCAGTTCTATTTCCTGTCCTTAATAAAACTTTGCCACTGATAAAGAAAAAAGAGAGAAAGAACAAAACACAAAATTCAAAGGACTGGTAAAAACTAACTATCATGCTAAAGTCAAAATGATTAGCCTTAGAAAACTATTTTGTAAGGACTATAAAGGAAATTCTGTAATTCTGTAGCATTCTATTTCTTGATCTAAATGTTGGTCATAAAAATGCATGTGAAAATTCGGCAAACTGTACTTATCTGAATCTATATTACGCATCAAAGGTATTCATCAAAATAACGTCTAATCCAAACAAATAAATGAGAAGACATAAAATTGAAAGAAAACATTTCTATGAAACAAAAACCTATAAGCCATTAAAGATTGATTAAGTTCACCTGTGTAGTCTTTTAGGCACTAGGAATGTAACTCATTGATAGAACACATGTAAGGTCCTGGGTTTAATCCCCAGCATCAAAAGAAAAAAAAAAAAAATTGAAGTACATGGCAAAAACACTATACACTATGTCTTAAGAAACAGAATATTTACATTTTATTTTATATCACCAACAGCTACCTCTATAAGAAAAACAACAACAACAACAAAAAAAAATGACCAAAGAAAGAAGAGACATTTTGAAGAAAAGAAAATTCTTTTTTTTTTTTTTTTTTTTTTTTTTTTTTTTTTTTTTCGGTAAAGGGGATTGAGCTCATGACCTGGTACCTGCTGGGCAGGCACTTATGCTGTTGAACTAAATCTCCAGCCCCCAGGAGAAAATAAAATTCAAATGGCTCAAATATATGATAAAACGTTCAATCACTCATAATAACAAAACTAAAAAATCTACAGTGAAATCCTATTTTTTACCTTTTGAATAAAAATGTTTGATAGCTGAGATAATAAGCGTAAATTGGCAGGATTTTTATTTAAAAAAAGATACAATGATGAAATAGAGTTTCAAAACACGTTAGTGGGACAGTTATAGTAGTTGATATGTTACATAATAATGTCTTCTTAGTAGTTATTCAAGGTATAAGATATATGCTATTAGCACACATTATTACTAAGATATAAGATATTAGTATAATATTAGCACAAAACTTTCTTTTCAAGGAACTAAGCTAGCTGTATAAATGTCTTAACTATGTTGTATATATTTATTTTTATTTTTTCCCTTTCTTCCTTTTCTCTTTTCCAGAACAGTTTTTTTCTTTTCAAGAGTGTCTTCCCAATTCACGGTATCTATTGTACATTTCAGATCCTATTTACTTGTTTAGTTTCTCACACTAGTGAGACAATATGTTTACACATATGAATCTGATTTACTTCACTTGTGAGTATAGTCTCGAGTTGCATCCATTTACCTATGACAGTCTCCAGTTTACCCTTCTTTGTAGCTGAGTAACACTCCATTATATAAAAAAAGCCCCTCATCATTTTTAATACATTCCCTGATGGATGGGCATCTGAGTTGCTGGCAGGATCTTTATCCAGGATAAATGTTCATAACCTTGAATGAGCAAATCTACTTCTAGGAAATTTTGTTACACACTTGGAAAAATATCAATGATGAATAAATGTCAATTATTGAGAAGTGGTTAAATAAACATACACCAATATGCTGGAATATTATGCAGTTTTAGTTTATATTTTTAAAATATATAATATAAACTTATTGAGGATAAGGAGATTACAGTATATAAGTATAGGAACTTGTGAAAAAGAATGAATAACATTTGTTTGTAGGCATAAAATACATTCAAAAAAATCCAAAAAATCGATACAGTATTTGGACAAATCTAAAATGTAAGCAATTATAAGATGCACTATTATTTTATGTCCCAATAAAAGTGCTACCAATTAAATAACTGTATTTTCTTAAAAGAGAATTTTATTCTTAAAAGATCACTTTTAGATTTAGACACATATAATGCTTAAGCATAACTAAACTTACAAGAAGGAAAATATTACTAAAACCAGCTAATTACTGTCACATTCAAAATTTGCCTCTTCTTCCCTAATGTAA